TCATATGGGGGTGTCCCTTTGGCGTACCCCAAAAATTGCTTTGTGGCTATAACGGAAACCAAAAGGACAACCACCATTTGGGTCGGTCCCGAAAAATAGACAGACCCATATTCACTCGAGTGCACGGGCACATGTCCTCGCCACTAAGCACTTTGAGACAGTGATGCTGTATCAAATGGTGGAAAGAGCGAGGTGTGTAACTCATTATGATTGTCCGGGTGCTACACTAAACCCCTCCCTACATGACCAGGATGTTCCTTTCAAGCACTGTTCGGCGGTATGCCCGCTTCTTTTAGTAGAAGGCACACCCTGCTTGCAAGTAAGTCTCCTTGCGCACTGCAACACTGTTGAACCCTCAAAACGTGCCATTGACCACCTATGGGGTTCGCTCCAATGCGATACTTCCAGAAGTGAGTACGGGGTGCCCCGAAACCGAAATGGCTGCTAACGGGGTTAAGAAACGGGCTTGAAATGGTGCTATGCACATTGTGGCAACAAGCGAACGAAAAGAGCTCGCTCATTTGCATCCATCAGATCCCATGCAAGAGGCTTGATATGGGCGCCGAGGTGAACCCACCGGCGCCTTGCATTAGACTTTGTCTGCAGACTGCACAAACACTCCAAGATGGTTTTGTGACATGGCCTGGTGTGTCCTGGAAATGTACGGCCTCTTCTTGGCGTTTGCATCAGCAAAAGAAGCCCATGCTCTGCCATCCCCCCAGCCCGAGTTGTCAAACTCGACTCAGCAGGGGCCAACAAAGAACAATTACCGTACCCGACCGCACCTCGCAATCAACCCATCAACTCAGCCCCCCACCGAGAGGCCAAGTCCACCTGAACAGAATCGGCGGTCAAAAACGGACGGGGTCTATGCCTGGTGCCCAGGGAAGACATGGAATGACCCCGAGAAAAACCATCCCTTATGGGTTCCTCTAAGGGAATCCCCTTCAAGGTCATTCCCTACTGAGCGCCGGAACCCCCTCTATCCCCAACTAGTGGTTTGCTTGAAGGGAAAATCCCTAGCTTCAAAGGGAATCCTTACCATGGTCTGACTTCCCTCCAGAGGTGCTTTTGCCATGGCACATACTGTGGATGGTGCGAAATCCAGAGATCGCAGCACAAAAAGAAAAATGTGAATGAAACCATGACGTTTGTTGGTAATTCTGTTGGGGAACGAATTGCATGTTAGGAAGGCTTTTATGGTGGTCCAGGCCGGCCCCCAATCCAAGGGTCCAGAAGCACAGGGCCCGTTGCGGGACCCATTTGGGCGCCTCCGGGAGACCCGATCCGACAACCATGCGAACTTGAAAACTCCGATGCTCATATTGTGCGGCGCCCATGGATGCGACCAGTGACAATGTCGACTCTCATGTCCCTAGTCATGGTTCCCCAGGAATGAACATGGCATAGGTGCGTCCCAAGTTCACCTGTGTCTTCATGTCCGACACACACGAACCGCGAAACCATCTCAAGCTCGGATGGCCATAAATAAATCGACCTCGTTTCTTGTGAGCCTCTCCAGGATATGTTTCTTTGCTTCTTACAGCTACTTTCAGTTTCCCACATTGTGACCCCCTTGGTTGTGCCACTTCGCCGGAGCTTGAATGCGGGTCCGAAGGTCTTCCGGGAGCCCGTCAGGCTAAGAGTATCTCTCTGGGCTGATTTCAAGGCGTGTCTTGAGATTGAGTGCCATCTCCGGAGGTTGCCTTCTGTTTCTTTTCCTTTGGGGGGACTCTCAGTCGCGACTGTGCAGTGCATCGACTGCCGGCCTCTCCGGGTCCCGTGGACGAAGATCTGGCGACAAAAATAACAAGAAAATAGAGATCGCGTTGGGAATGTGTCTGAAGTGCACACCTTGCAGTGAATCACATGCCAGCTTCGAGGACGTCTGGCAATGAGTCTCTCGTTGAATGTGGAAGAGATTGAAAGGGTCGCAAACAACAAGCAACCAGCACCAACCCAATCTCTCAGACTTCAGCCCACTCGCAGCCTTGGGGCGAGAAAACCCCTTGCACGAGGGCAGAGGCCGTTGGACCCAGGGCCCGACTTTTGGCTTCGTTCTTCCTTTGTACCGGAGTGGAACACGCGCAACCACAAAGGCGACCCCCGATTTGTGCCAACCGGAATCCCTATTTGACCCAAGGATTGCTAGGAGAAACTCCCTCAGGCAGCGGCTCAGGAAACTGGGCGTTGCCTCCAACATCCAAATGTCCACGTCGGAATTGTTCACCCATGCAGATTGACCAGAGGTGTTCCCCTTTTCGTGAGAAGTATGGTCATTCGGATAAATCCAATATGCTCAACCGGCCAGTCTGCATAAACTTGGCCCGACATTTCTGCTAGCCCTCAGAAGTAAATGCATCCCAGCAGGATAAAGTACGATTGTGCGGATATACCTTTGGGAACACACACGAAACGAGGTCCCCCTGTTGTGGGCAAGTCCCGTGGGTTTAGGTCATGTCAATCCCTCACCCGAACGAAACGCCCCCAAGCCCTGCCTGCCCGCCATCTTCAGCAGGCAAAAAATCGCGGGCTATGCCTCGCCGTCGTGGGGTGATTGTTTCCTGCAGCTTGGAGCTAGGCTTGGCTGAGAAGTAGGCTCTGGAATGGTGGAATGGTAGGGTCAGGCCAAGGCCAGGCTGGGCTCTGGGTATTGAATGGCATCTGGATTCCATTCTCAGCGCTCAGAGCCAAAGGTTGCCAAGTGGACGCGGCACATTCCTTCAGGACTCGAAAATGCTCAGAGAGGAATCGTGCACAGCAGAACTATGATTGTTGAGGCGGAAACACAAGTTGGTGCCAAGATCATATGGCAACTGCTGCTCGTTTAGCTAGGTAGCTTGAAAAAAACGTCCATGGTCATCAAGGCAAAGTAGGGTCCGGGGTCTCAAATCCATTTCTCGGCAATTCAACCCTATAGCGCTCCTTTGGTCCAAAAATAAATGGCAGAATAAACATTGACAATCCCCAGATTATATCAATTGCCTGTCACATCTGATCGAGGACACACGGCAAGAAGCATGGCTAGGACGACTAAGTTGCAACCCATGTACGCTGAATTGCAATGTCATATTGAAAGCGTCCTTGTTGAGATCGGCAAGCAACTTTCGCTGGTTCTTGCCACAGCTGAAGCTTTTGCCTGAATCTCATCTACGGCACACAGCATCCAACCGACCATCCTTGCATCTGCCCGACTCACATGACGCCTCGGCCCTAAACTAAAATTATTGCAGGGGAACAAGGAAGCCCTACTAAACCGCAAATTACCAAAATAATTAACCAAACAAAAATGTGTGCTACCGCAAATTGCCCAGGGTTGTGTGGTAGGCGGCTGGTTCAAAGAAGCGCTCTGCATGGGATCCGTGTCGCCAGAGTGGCAAAACGCGCATGTTTGGGCTGTCAGGCATCGAGCACTTGGGTCTCGATGAGCCGCTGCAGCAGGTCGGGGCAGAAGCCTTGGGATGTGATATATATATATATATATATATGGTCAACCACCCCAGGGCCTACCTTTCCTCTCTTCTAGTTGAAGGTGTCAAGTCTACTCCGTGTGCCTCGATCATGTTGGTGCATTACCTTCTATATGACAGCAAATGCTTGCTTTGTTTACGCTTGAAAGGCAACAAAGCGAAAACGGATTCTTTCGAGTCTGGCTTTGTGTGAAAACACGGGATTTTACAGTGGTTTTGAGTACACCAGGGAAAAAACATTGAACAAATGTTGTTCTTGCTGCTTTGAGCTCTGCAACCTGCACAGACCCAAAAGTACAAAATCTCCTGAAAATGAAAGCTCTGAGACCTGCACATGCCAAACATTTGCCCACTATTTGCTTAGCCACATTTAATCTAAATCATTTTTGGGAATGGGTTGCCGTTAAAATTTGTTTGCAAAGGCCAAGTGAGTTCTTTCCAGAATAATATCTATTCCAATTTAAGTCATATTTGGGAAGGGACTTGTTGTTCAAACGCCAATTGATTTCTGTCTGCATTAAAGTATATTAAAACTCTACTGAAATGTTAATGTTTCTTATTTGGAAAGGTATTCCAATTAAAATTCTGATTAAATATAGAAATTATGGTGAATTATGAATTGTGGTGAATTATGTCCTTACTAAATTCTCGAGGACTCTGACCTCCAGATTCTAGATTTTAGGTGTTCCAAAATGGACATGTCAAGGGATTAGAGGTCCAACAAAATGCTGAAGAAGAAAAAAAAGGCGGTGTTTTGCAGAAATTGCTCAGATTGTGTTCCCTTGGACCGAAGATTGCTTCTTTTCTCCAAACAACATTGTTCCTTCAAACAACAGTCCATTCTATGCTTCTCAAGATATTTTTCGGGGTCCAACCTGAACAAATACACACCCAAGTGTGCACATACAAAAATATATACATACGTATATTTGTATATATGTATACTATACATGTGTATGTATAAATATATATATATATGTTTCCGTACGTGTGTATATATATATATGCTCCCCCCCCGCAGCGCCTACCTTTCCACTTCAAAATGTACAAAATCCTCTTATGTTAAAGACAGGGGGTGTGAGCACATATACGCAAGAAGTGTGCTGGTGTTGCATATTTTGTGTGGGTGACAAGTCTGTTGAGTAACAACAGCGAAGAGTTTATGAACTTTCAGGAAAGTTTATAGCCTATGTCAAGGGTGTGACGGTTTCACTGCAACAAGGCAGCACCTGGCAACACCTGGGCACCCTGGGGGAGGTTGAGAAGTCTGGGACAGGGGATAGGGGGAAGGGGGGGGGGGTGGTGAGACGTCTTTAACAAAGTTTGGTTCAGTCACACCTCACTGATGACTTCCAGCCACCCCCCCCCCCACCCCCCTCTCCCAAGACTTCCAACCCCCCCCCCCTTCCCCCGCCCTTTCCTTGCAAGGATACCCTGACCATGAAGACTTCCCAGGGTGTTGCCTTGTTGCGGGAAAACGCCAAACACTCAAGAAGGTTTATAAACTTTCCTGCAAGTTTACACCCTGAA